GCGACGAGTAAGTGTTGTTGCCGCAATTTGAAACCCTGCCAATTGTTACATATTTGTTCAAATCTGGTCAGTTGCCAGTGAACACATGGAAAGGGATGTTGGAGGTCGCACTTGGATAACGAATGACAGGGAAGTCCCAAGCAGCCGCTTTATCAAAGGCGCTCATGCGAAGCGAGCCATCAGAATGGACCCGTAGATGCATGCCTAAAAAGGTACACGAGCCATGTGTCGCTGTAGTCTCCTTCCACTCAAGCCCATATTGCTCTGGTGAAGGAGGTAATTGTTCCCATGAAAGAACATCATCAATGAGGCAATAGGTGAAGGCATATTGTTGAGCGGCTTGAAGATCATGTTGTTGAATGTCATCAACAAAGGATGCTTCATCATATAACGTCAAATTAAAAATTTCTAGGCTAGCATTCGTTCCCATTGGAATTATGATAATTTGTTTCCAAAGTGTGTCATCTCTTGTGTACAAAAAAATGTTTTGTACAACAAAGCGAAGATGTTGGAGAATCTGAGAAACGAAAAGGGTATCTCGGCCTAAATCAGTCGTCCATTGGCCATAATGAGGTCCTCAAATAACCATGTTGAGGGCAATGCAGCGTGAATGTGTGTGAGCATGCCGAAGGGCATAAGCATGAGCTTCATCAACAACTTTTGCCACATTATTTAGAATGCGGTCATGAGGAAGGTTGGTGTACATTGTGGTANTGCCGAAGGGCATAAGCATGAGCTTCATCAACAACTTTTGCCACATTATTTAGAATGCGGTCATGAGGAAGGTTGGTGTACATTGTGGTAAAATCTACAGTTCGAGGAGAGAGGCCACAAAGAGACGATGCATTGTTTTCAGGTCAATCGCAACTTCATCGGCACTCTGAACGATCCAGCACCGTCGAACACCAACCTATTGATAAAGCTCAATATCTTTCTCGTGAAGTAGAGATCACTCCTTGCAAAGCAGCATTGAGATACGACGAAGTAGTCGTTGTGCCAGCCAAAGGGTTTGTGAGGAGGTCGTTCATGAATGGTGCGAATTGTTGGATGAGGGCGAGCGCGTGGGGGAAAACACTGTTATTTTGTGTTGTGACTACAAGAATGGTGCGAACAGTTGGAGGAGACTTGTGAGCTTTGAGTACTTAGTAAAGGTAAGGTAGGATATCAGTGTGGGTGTAACCCCCATGGTGATTCCACACTGCATCATGGTCAAGGACATCAGCAACGGACTCTTGAGGACAAGTATAAGTGGGACTGTCCAAATAGGTAGAGAGATGAAATAGATACCAATTCTTGCAGCAAATTGTCAAATTGGCGATGTTTTGTCCACAGGGGCAATGACAAAGTGTTGTTGAAGATGGCGCAAGGAGGCATGTGACGAGAGCACATTGAGAATGACCGGCCAACAACCTTTTGTAATTGGCAATGTACTCATCTAGTCCAATTGCCAGTGCTTAGAGCACATCGGCAGTTTCCCCATTCAACCGATACTTAAGCTTGCGAAGGCTATCATTTGAGATGATATTGTAGTCAACAGACACAATAAGGCCATCCACAAGATTAGAACAATGTGGAAAGGCTCTGCGGCATTCACAATTAGAGGAGTCGAGTAAGGTCATGACAGGAGTAACACTCAAGGCCACATCACTGCCACATCACTGAAGTTACAAAACTGGACACGCGTGGGTGGCATCAGTTTGTCACATACACAAACACGTGTGGCTGCTTGAGGGTCGGGGTGCAATGCAACTACATCCGGCAATTGTAACACATGGCACAAGTTCCTAGCACGAACTACCTCATGGGCATGTACGACCTTGATGTGGTCAGTAAATGAGTCATGAGGTGTATATATATACTTCATCAATATGCTGAGCCTTGTACGTGAAAGGCATGGTGAAAGGGGAGTTAATAAAGAAAAAAACGAATGGTTTTAACTTTTAATGTGGCCCTCATGTGTGTCTTGTTTTTTAATCTTTACCGTTTGTTTCACAAAGTGTGCCGTTTCAGTTCATAGTTATGTGATGTGACGATATATCTATATATGTTATATATATATTGTCACAAGAGTATCAGAGCGCAAATGCGAACAAAAAGAAAAAGAAAGAAATACAAGAAAAGATGAATTCAGTTTTTTATCTTCTTCCTTATAACTCCCCCTGTTCAGAACCTCTTGCGTACAAGGCCGCCCACGTGGATGTAGGTTGAGTGGTGGCTGCCCCCACCCCCGTGTGTCATGTCGACCCACTTGCACACGCCAAAAGGCAAAGAGTCAAAGAAAAGAGGAAGGGAACAGCCAAATAAAACAGAACAGGGGGCAACAAAACAGATCCCAGTGACAAGTCCCACATGGAAGCACCGCCCCAACACACACGGGCCAAACGACGGGACAAGACCAGCCAGGATGTCAAAACATTCTTGTCTGCAAAGAAAAGAAAAAAAAGTCCCAGATACATATCTATACACATCAGATGGCCTTGTTCGACATTCCTATTCGGCGTCATCGTAAGCAATTCGTACCGGGACATCATAAAAAACAATCCTAGATGATGATTCCCACATAAAAGCACCGCCCCCATTGATAGGCCGAACAATGGGAAGCAACCAACTAGGATACCAAAAAGAACCCGGAGGACCGGTATAAAAGGCAGTCCCGGATGACGATTCCCACATAAAAGCATCGCCCCCATGCAGGCCGAACAACGGGAAACAACCAACCAGGATGCCAAGACAAAAAAAAAAACCGGATGACTGGTCCAACGTGAAGCTCCACTACGCTTGTGAAATAGACTGAACAACGGGACAAAACCAACCGGGATGCAGACAAGGTTATATATATCGTTTGTTGTCCTCTTCTCTCTCTCTGACTACGGTTTACTGGGCAGTTCTGTTTGTGACGATATATATATATATATAAAATATATATCGTCAAACAGAGCTGCCCGGTAAACTGTAGGCAGAGAGGGAGAAGAGGACAACAAATGAGGGGCTCTGACAAACTGTCTCATTGGAGTTTCACCGACTCATCAGGAGGCTGAACCCTCGACAGTCTGCAGAATCCTCTCACTGATTATATATGTATATATTTTGACATGGTGTGAGGCGTCATGTCATAGAACAGCTGACGAAGCAAATGGTTCTATCTGACAGTGACTGTACCAACAAATGGGACTGTTCAAACAAATGGGACTTTAACACATGGGACGGTTCAAACAAATGGGACGGTTCAAACAAATGGGACTGGTCAAAACAAATGGGACTGTACAAATGAAGGGGACTGTTGTTTCATGTGCGATCAAAAGTTTTTTACTTGGGTCCTTCGGGACATCCTTTATAATCGGAACGGTACAGAGAAGATTAGCATGGCCCCTGCGCAAGCATGACACAAAAAAACCGAGAAATGGTTAGAAAAAGGAAGAAAAAAAGAAGCAAACGAACAAAAAAACTGTACTTGGTGTTGTTGTTCAACAGCCTGGACTGTGTTCTGTGTTTTTCTTTCCCATTACTTCGCCCCTCTTAGAGTTGACATGATGTACGACCTCTTCCTGTTGTGCGATGGTTCCATGGGGACTGACCAGACAAACGGGACTGTCCAATGGACTGGGCTCGTTGCAGCTTTATGTGCAGCTTAAAGTCCACTTGGCGGATGTTACTCATGAGGTTCGTCTGCGTTCTGTGTTGTTTTCCGTTAGTTTGCACGGGCCAGGTTTGTCATGATGTATGATCTTCATGGGATGCTTCCACTTTGCACTGCCTAGGTTCCATCACTTCCCACTGTCATGAGAGGCTTCCATGTCATGTATATGACGATGTCAGCTGCATCAGGCCAACATTTCGAGTTTAGCACTGCCAACTACCCAGTCGCAACTGTAGGGCATACTAACACTACAGTCTTCCCCCGAAAACAACGCACGGTCTTTATAGCCGAATTTGGTCCATCTTTCTGTCTAAATTCAGCTATAATGACCGTACGTTGTATTCGGGGGAAGACTGTAGTACCACCGTCTTCCCCCGAACATAACGCATATTTGTTGTAAACGATACAGCGCACAGGTTAGAACGCATATGCGTTCTATTCGAACAGCCCTTAGTTTCGCATACAAAGCATATGTATTCTTTCAAATTTTCGAATTTTTGGGAAACTCGAATACAACGCATATGCGGTATGTTCGGGGGAAGACAGGATGCTATGAGCCGAGTGGCCCGGCTAGGCTGGGTGGGGGATCGTCCAGGTTCAACTTTTGGCAAACAGGTGTAATGACGCAATGGCTTTTCTCGACTTCTCAGTGGTCGTACGCCCCACGCATGCAATGTCTTCATCTCATTGAACAATGAATAGTCGTAAACAAGATGGTTTTAAGCAATGCGATATGGTCTTAAGCTATGCATATATGGTTGTAAACAAGATAAGCCCCTTGGCTGTTCTGGTCCCTCTTCCGTCGGCAAGTCAGAATAGCACGGTAAATGCCCACACGCTGTTGTTCGCAAGCCTGTTCCCACCAGCAGAGCCCATCTTGTTATGACCCTCTCTCTCTCTCTCTCTCTCTCTCTCTCTCTCTCTCTCTCTCTCTCTCTCTCTCTCTCTCTCTCTCTCTCTCTCTC